GTGAGGGGAGACGTCCCTTCGGGCGGGAAGGGCAGGCGCCCGCCCGCCGTGAGGGGACACGTCCCTCCGGGCGGGAAGGGCGGCCGCCTGCCCTGGGCTAAGGGAGCCTGGGCTGGGTGAGGTACTGGCAGGGCACCCGGCTTTGCTGACCCGCGGTGTGATGGGGAGAGTAAGTGCACCCCGAGAACAGCAGCTGGCCTTCTCTCCGTTACTGCTTCCCCTCGACATCACCACAGTTCCCATTCCTTACCCCGTTTCTTCTCCACTAGGGAAAGAACCACCCTGTACTCCCAAGACGGCTATTTATGCATCGTAACCTCCCTCAGGGCTTCTTTTCCTCTCTTGTTTTTCAGCTTTCCTGCAAGAAAATAAACTAGAAATAAATAGGGTGTCGGACTAGAAACTCAGTTACCTAGAGTTTGATTTATCTTTCCAATGTTCAAATTCTTCGAGTCTCAAACAGGATGCAAATAGTGGAAACAAGCAAAATCAATTCACATTTTTCTTGCCCATCTACTTTATGCTGACTGGTGCTTGGAAGGGACAGGGTTTCAGTCAGGGAAGTACTGCAGTTTCCCACACCATGCGATTAAATGCTCGCTCAGGCCATTACAGTTTTGATGCCAGTTCTGCATTTCTGATTTACACGAGACCATGATCGAGCCAGGAGGCCTGGGCTTAGCCAGCCTTGTAGAAAGACCAGTTAATTTGTGATTATTTAGCATTTCTGAAGCTGCTTTTCTGTAAAAGCTGTTCAGGAGGTGGGTGACTCTAAACGGAGAGAGGCAACTGAGCATACCCTAGTCCAGTGCTAATGGGAAGAGAAGTTTAAATCCTCCTTTCTTCCAGTCTCTGAGGCTGATAGCAAAGCTGGAAACTGCCAGGAATGCCACGGGAAAGAACAGGGAGCTGCTAGTGTATTACCAGAAGGTTTCTGAAGGGAAAAGGCGATAGGGGATGCCCAGAAAACAAGATTCTGAGAAGGTGACTGCTCCCTGGGATAGGATGGACCAAGTACTCAATTTCTTTTGATTCAAAACTTACGTATTTTTTATAGTGGGGGTGGTGGGAAAAACCTGTGAACTTGCTGCTAAGACAGGGTGGAGTAAGAGAAGCCAACTGATGGAAGAGAAAGAGTGTGAGGAAATTAAAGAAGAGTTCCTGAAATTGTTCAGAGCTTACCCTGCTTAGGTTAAGAAACAGGCTACAAAAACATATGGGTGCAATGTCAATTGCAGAAACTGTTACTGAAGTTCCTTTTTTATAAAGAACAGGGAAATGGTGCTGGACACTTGCAGAACAAAGCTGCTTCCGAGGGACTACCATGCTTTAAAAAATGGAAGAAAAAAAAAAGCAGAGGAAAGAGAACAACAAAGCTGTGCTTGCGTCCCTGCCTCCAACCTGGTGTTAAGAGTACTCATGCAATTTCTGCACAATTTCTGCACAAACAGCCTTATGTACTTCCACGCTGCCTCCCAGACTCCCCCTTCCTCTTCCTCCCCACTGGCCTCCACTTCCAGACTCTGCTTCTCGTTCGTCTCGTCTCAGCCTCTCCTAGTTCACCCCTGCCCACCTTCATGGCTCCCACCCAAGCTACTCCTCAAGCCTTTTTGACTCAGATTTCTTCTCACGTAGGTTTCCTCACACAGATGTACAGCTCTCTCCCATAGTGTTTGAGGTCCATTTGTTGCCGTCTCCTCTCTCCCTGCTCCCGCACTCAGATACGTGCACATGTGCATCTGCCCTTATCTCCCTGAGCCACCTTGCCATAGATGATCCTTGCCAGCAGATCGTGGCCTTGCCAGATCTCCCACCAAGGCTCCTGCTCCAGCAGGATTTTTAAAAACCTCTGTGTGGGCTGCGCTTAACTAAGATCCACCCAGAGGGAGCCCTGAGAGCAGAAAGGCTGGCACGTTTATGAAAAACCGGCCCTGTGAGAGTGCTACCCAGGCAACGTGTAGGTCTACCAGGAGATTAAATGCAGGACATGGATTTTTCAAAGGTACCGAGTTCTCCATAGCAAGGACTGCCAAATGCCTGAGCAAAACCAAAAAAAGAAGAGCAACAGCCACTTGAAAAATGGTAGCTGTGCACATGCATGTACATACTGCCAGTGCAACACCTGTTATGAGTTGTACCTGCCACGTAGCGCATATAAACAAAAGGTCCAGTGCCAGATACATCAGATTTAGCCAAGCTTGAAATATAGTTCCTCGCTTGTATCCAGCAAGTCTGCTACAAGAAGAAATCAAAGGCAGCGGGGCTCTGTCAGGCGCAGCATCTTTAGGTTCAACGTCCCAAATGCCGAGGAACGGGGAGAGGGGTGAGGAGCGACCGGCAGCAGGGCTTGTTCAACGTTGCTGAACCAGACGAGCTGACCCGCCGCATATTTTGAAGAGATTCCCAGGACACTACAATCGCTTCCAGGAAAGAAAAGCGGTTTTACAGCTCCTCAGGGAGACAGAGCGGCCCGGGAGAGGAGACCCCCAGCCTGCTGTCAAGCTCCCCCCGCCTGAAGCGTGCCCCCCCAGATCATGAGGGCTGAGGGTTTCCCGAGGAAGCACGCCAAGTGCGTGCCTTACTGCGGCCCCCCCAAAACCACACTGCGGAGAGCTCCGCCGTCACGCAGCTTTTATTTAAACAACGCAACCACCTGCCCTTGTGGAAGGGAAAAGGAGCGGCCGCCCGCCCGCCCCTCCGCCTCACAAGATGGAGGCGGTGCGGGAGTGCAAGGCATGCTGGGAGTTGTAGTCCGCCCGCGCCCGGGTCGTTCCCTCGCCCCGCGGGGAAGAGGCGGCAGGTTGTCGCAGAGGGGGATATTTGGGGCGGTTTCCCGCTTTCTCCCTCCCTGCGCAGCGGTTTGGGGAAAAACGAGTCTTAGGCTGGCCGGGGAAGAGGGGTGCCCCCGGCAGCAGGCGGTGCCCGGGCCCGTGTGGTGAGGCGGCGGGAAGCCGGGGCTCCGGGCAGGCGGCGGCGCCGTGGGCCCTCGCCGGGCCGTGGGCGGCCAGCGTGAGCCGTGGCGTGCGGTTGGGAAGTCACCTGTGATCCTTTGGGTTGCTGCTAGGCGAACGGGACGGAGCCTGCCTGCTCTGTGCGCGGCTTTCACTGCCGCAACGGATGTAACCTTCATTTTACCCCTGTGTCTGCTGTTACTAGGCACCAGGTTATACTGGTAACTTCTTTTCCACAACTGCAGGCAAAAAAACCAAAGTGACAGCACCTTCAAATATGCCTTCAATACCTAGATACGTTCGCGGTGTGCAAACCACACAGACTGATTTTCAAACAGTGTTAGCAGTTGAAAATCGTCAATAAAGTTTGTTCAGGTTGCCACTGAAGAGTTTCCAAGGTACTGCTGTTCAAGTTGACTATTAAGGATGTCGTGAAGGTCTTGTACATCTAGAGCACAAATAGCAAAAGTGAATTTCCAGAAGCAATTGTAGACACGTGCACACGCTTTGCTTGTAGTTAATAGTAAATTATAGAGTAATTATAGGTTGGTCTAAATCACATAAACCCGTAGGATGTAGCTGTATCTCTAAGAAGACAATTAGGTGCTTCTCAAACACTAGCAGGTCACCAGGCAAAATACACATGTTTGCAAGACACGTACTGGCTCAGGGGTTCACTACCTATTTTCATCAATGCTTGCTTTCTGTCTAGAGAAAAAAGTACTACATAAGACATAAGTGAGCCCTATGAATATGATTACGTCTCAAATGAAGAAGTCTAGAGGGAGCCTCCCCAACAAAGTCCTGGCTGAAAGGATGCCTAACGCAGTGATCAAAGATGCAATCTTCTGGCGTGTTTGAGATGTTGAGTGTAATAAACAAACAACTTTGCCTCTAAGAAAGACCAGTTCTATCAACAGCTTCTCCTGAAGTGAACAAACTGCATTATGCTAAATACTGGCTAACTGCTTGGATCAAGAAGAGGCAAGCCATTTAGCAGAGATCTGTTATATAGGGATATTTTTAATTGTTGAACTTGTAATATCCTAAAGACATACCCAGTTAGTTTGACAAGACATAATATGCATGACTGTGTTAGTTGTTGTTGTTTGAATCCTCACTGATTTTCACTATTTTGCCTGGGATCAGGCAAAATGGCAGGTATATAGTTACCTGGGTCATCTTAGCTGGTCCAGTACTTAGCCCACACACTGAATGGGAAGGCATATCAGTTGAGGGCAGTAGAGG